CTGTGTGTAAGGGACCATAGCACTGTCCCTCATAGACTACCTCACTCCACTCACCAATGGTAAGACTCGAAGGTGTAATGACTGTGTTGGTGAAGGAGGAATACAAATTGTTCAGCTAGAATAGCTCCTGAGAAGACAAGGTCTGAGGAAAAAAAGGATAAATAGCTAAAATAAAGCAGAATTAATGTTCACACAGGAAGAGAACTAGGAAGTGGGGAAAGGAATGATGATAAAATATGAATAAAATTGAATATTAGTTATAGAAAGGAATAAAATTAAAATAAAGAAAATTCCATATCCTCCTCTGCTAATCAATGAATGGTTTGAATCACGATTTCTGATGAGTTATTTGTGGCTGCATGTTCCTTATTCTTCTAGAAATGCATTTAGGAGAAAGTAGAGAAGCTTCATCAGCCAGAATGTGTATGATTTCTCTGTCACCAAAAATCCTAAGGACAATTGTTCATGAAGTAGACTACATTCTTTATGTACTTATATTATATTAAATGCCATGACTGGTAAACCTCGAACTGTTCCCTCTATAGAAATGTTTTTGTTGAAGCTAAAACTCTAATACCTTAGAATGTGACTGTATTCAAAGATGGGGCCTTTGCAAAAACAATCAAGACAAAAATAAGCCAGCTCTAATTAAGAGAGACTGGTGTCCATATAGGAAGTATAGATGAACATCCCTAGAGAAAAAGCACGTGAGAACTTACAGACAAATGGTCATCTCCCAGTAAAAAGGAGGCCTCAGAAGACACCCATCCTATAAACTTCCTGATCTTGGACTTACTGTCTGTAGAACTGTGGAAAAATTAATTTCTGAAGTTGAAACCTGCCAATCAGAGATGGTTTTCTGTGGTAGTCATAGAAAACTACATGTTTTAATATTATATTTCAAGAGCCAAATTACAAAATCTATTTGGCCTCAGAATCATACATAAAGGAATCATTAACATTTTCCCATTCTATTCCTTAAGCCCATTTTTACACATTTGTTTCCATGTCTTTGTACTGTGTCTAGAGGTTTCATTACCCTAATAATCTTATTAAGATTTTTGGAGGCTAGTGAGGCTGGAGAGATTGTCAGCAGTTAAAAACCACTGGATGCTCTTCCAGAGGACTCAGGTTCAGTGCCAGGCATGCACTTATGGCTCACAGCCATCTGTAACTATAGTTCTAGGCAATTTGATACCCTCTTCTGACCTCCACAGACACCAGGTTACACACATGGTCCACAGACTCATGTGAGTGTAAAACACTCTTACACATAAAATAAAAACGAAGAGAGAGTACATATTGTAACTATACTTTTCTATTGCTGGGATAAAATGTCATCGCCAAGATGACTTTTAAAAGAAAGGTTATATGGGGCTTACAGTTTCAGAGGGTTAGAGGCCATGATGGTAGAGCAGAGGGAGCAGGCGGCAAGTGACTGAAGCAGCCGCTGAGAGCTTATATGTGGATCCACAAGCACGATGCAGAAAGAGGGCACACTGAGAACGACTCCAGTATTAAAAACTAAGAAGTTCTGCCAGGCATTGCGGCACATGCCTTTAATCCCAACACTGGAGAGGCAGAGGCAGGAGGATCTCTATGATTTTGAGGCCAGCCTGTTCTTCAAAGGAAGCTACAGGACAGCCAGACTGTATAGAGGAAACCTGTCTCAAACACAACAAACAAGAAATAAAATTAAAGAGAAAATTATAGGTGCATTTTTCTCAGATAAAATAATGAAGATATAGTGAAAGCTTTCTGTAAGCCAACACTGGAAAAATTTCTACCAAGGACTGTCCTCTTTGCGCATGGTCTTCGAGATTAAGGCCTGATACACAACAGGCCCAAACAACTGCATCGAGCAGATTGTTTCACCCAAAGTTGATAGTCTTGTGGTAGCAATACTGGGTTTTACAGTGTGTTTACTAGTACAACAAATATTTTACAATACAAAAAACAAATGACTATTAATAGAAAGATAATGTAAAACTTTGTGCTGAATATTAAAATGTGTGTGTAAACAAATTTGCTTAGAACTATGTAAATATAAAGCACAATACAGTGGAACATGATGGAAATCCCATTATGTGGAAGGCCAGATAGTATGAATGCCTTCTTTATCTGTCTGCACAGCAAAACTTTTCTCAGAAAGAAAAGATAAAGATAGATACATTGATAGACAGACAGACAGATAGATAGATCAGTAGATAACACACCTGATATGGTTTAATCAAGCACACACACACACACACTATATATATATATATATATATATATATATATATATATAATCTTACCTAGGGAAGACCTTACTGAAGTAGATTGGAGCAAAATTTGGAAATAATCTACACAAAACTGGGTCATTTTCTAGCAAATGTAAAGAGATTCTCTAAGTACTCATTCTTTGAGCTTGCAGTGACACAGTACTCAATAATAAAACTTTTCAGTTCATCATGAATGAACTAGGAAATGACTGAGTTGAGAGAGGGTGTTTTGTTATTGATTTGCTTTTACAGTTAAGATTGATTATTTTTAAAGGAATTGATCTGTCTAATTTCTGAAAAAGAAAGTGTCCTCCATCAAGTAGACATGCAGGAAACCTAATGAAGGTCTTGAAGCCTCTAGGACCAAATAGACATTCAAGGCTCCAATGAGACAGTAGGAACAGAAGCTGTGAGAAGGGGCAGACTCTGGATCAAATTAGAAAGTTGAGCCACTGGATTTTCTTTTGCTGTTTGTTTTTAAATGCAACTAGATTTTTGTTCTTTTAGAACTTTATATTTTGACTAGGTCTTCTGAAGTATTCTTTGTATGCTAAATTATTTCAGGTGTATATTTCAATATTTGATATGTTGCTCATATAGCTTTATGATCATCATCAGTGGCCATCACACACATTTCCTTGACATCAGGGCTTCCTAACTCTAGACAGATAGAAAAAACTGATGTATTGTAGAGTTGTCTTTATTGAACAATACAGGCAAAAATAAGTCCCCAAAATAGTGTGGTGTTGTGTGGCTGGATCTGATTCAGTCAAGACTCTCAAGAGAAGCACAGCCTCTAAGCCCAGTGGCTTGACTTTGACTCAGTTCCAAATCCAAACAACCAAGAAGAACCATCATAGCACTGACACTTTTTGTTAGGTTTTAGGGGACATTACATTTTCTTATGCATGAGAATGCTGCCATTTTTATTACAAGGGAGGATGCTGGGGAGCAAGAATTTCCCTGGAGAGGGGAAATAGAATAGATTTTTGTGGGTAGACTGGAGGCAGGTGAGGGTGGGAACAGGAAAATCAGGTGCGGGAGAGAAGGACTGAGGGAGAGATGACTGGAATAGGTGGACATTTAAAGAGCAATATGGAAACCTAATGCAGGAGACACTTCCTGAGACCTACAAGGGTGACCCCAGTGAGGACTCCTGGTAGTGGAGGATATGGAATTGGAACTGGCCTCTTCTGTAACCAGGATAGGCTCTCAGTGGTGGGACTGGGACACCAACACAGACAAAAATGTTCCACTCACAAGTCCAGCCTGTAAGATGCATTGGGGCAGTGATGGCTCAGAGCTTGTGGTAGTGGCCAAACAATTATTGGTCTAATTTGAAGCCTCCACACAAGAGGGAGCCCATGTTCATCACTGCCTGGATGGCCAGGATCCAGAACCTGAATAGCTCAGAGACCTAAACCAAACACAACTGACAACAACAACAAAAAAATCAATAAAATGATTCCAAATGACACTCTGCTACACTCAAAGATCTGTGCTTAGCCCAATCATCATTACAGAGATTTTCCAGTAGCTGAGGGAAGCAGATACAGAGACCTACAGCCAAACATTAGGTTAACCTCTGGGAACCCTGCAGATGATGGGGAGGAAAGATTGTAGGAGTCATAGGGTCGAGGACACCATGAGGATACAGTCCATAGAATGAACTACACAGGGCACATTGGGGTTAACAGAGATTAAAGCAGCAACCATGAGCCTATATTGTCTGTGCTAGGTCATCTGCATGCATGTTCTGTTTGTTTAGCTTGGGGATTTTGTTAGAATCGTGGGACTATTTTCCTTCTACTAAGTTGCCTTGTTCAGTTTTGATATGAGGGTTCATGACCAGTGTTGTTGTATCTTGTTGTGTTTTGTCCAATTCCTAATCACTATGCAGTGTCTGCTGTCTTCTGCAGGGAAAATGAGGGGAGTGAATCTGAGGGGAGAAAAGGGGATATTAGGAAGAGGGGAGGGAGTGAACACTGTGGACAACAAATACTGTGTTAGAGAATGCATTTTATATAATAATAATAATAGATAGTGATATGCTTACGCATTCTGTTTGGCACTGCTGCAACAGACACACGATTTGCAAACATGTCATTCAGCTTTAAGGTTCTTTTTTCACTTTATCAATGGTTTACTTTAAAGCACAAACATTTTAGTGCTAGTACTATAGCTCAGTAGAGCACTTGCCTAGCATTCATGAGGCCCAAGCTTAATTCCTAGCACAGAAAAAAGTAAAAAATAATTGCTTTTCACTTCAATGAGGAAAAACAACTTTATCTTCATTTTGTTTATTGCCACTTTGTTTTTCATAACTAAGAAAGATTTGTCCAACTTATGTCATTAAAATTCATTTCTATGTTTACTTAAATTTGGTTCACTTGGCCTGGGGAGTTGGCTCAGGGGTTCAGAGCAGTTGCTGTTCTTACAAGGAACCCAAGTTTGATTGCCAGTTTTGAGCTACCTGAAACTTCAGCTCTAGGGTATTTGGTGTCCTCTTTTGGTCTCTGAAGACATCTTCACTCACACACAATCACAGACACACACACACACACACACACACACACACACACCATCAAGCCATCAAGTTGAAAATTTTAAGAAAAAATACATCATGCTTAATTACTTGATTGTTACATTTTGAGTATGGGATTCCTTTGGTCTTTTGTAAAGTACTACAGAAAGAAAGAACACTTTCTTCCATTAACAGGTAAATATCCATCCATTTGTCCCTAGTTTTCCTTGAGGACTAAGAATCTCTTTGGTATAGTTGTCTATACCACTCTATCTAATTCCTAGCCTGTATTATGTGCCAAGTCCACCACACTCCAAGTTTCTTTCTCCTAACAATGTCACCTCTAACTTTCCTGACACTTAATTCAGTTTCCATCATTTGACCTAGAAGCAGAATTGAGAGCATTCGTTTCTTCATTTTAATTGATTTTTCTCCAAGAGCAAAGCACCCAAGATTCAGGATCACTTTCCTCCATGCAAATCACAACCATTGACTTCCTGAACTGAAAGAAGAATGCATAAGAAACTTAAGGAAGAGGCTGAAGAATATAATATAGTTTTGGCCAAAAGTATGAAGGAAGCCAAATAAAAGTGGCAGGAATGTATTTTCCCAAGATACAGACTGACTCCTTTGAGAACTTTTATTCTAAATTCAATCAAATGTAAGAAACTTTAGGAAAAACAAATAAGTTACCAAAACATGTGAGGAATAAGGAGCATGTGTAGCCTCATAATCCATGATAATTTCGTGAATGACATGAGTCTGGCTCAGGGAATAAAACTTCTAAGGGATGACAAACACATACATAGTTTCATTCAACAAGAGATTTCATATTTAAGAAATCACAAATTCACTCTAGTGTGGTGGTTCATGCCTATATCTCCAGCCCACATGAGGTGTAACCTCAAAGAATAGGAGTTCAAAGCCAACCTCAGCTTAATGAAGATTTCAAGGCCAGCCTGGCTCCTGGGCTCGTAGAAATACCATCTCACAAAACAAAAACAAAAAAAGAAGTCACCTTGATGTGTGACTACTTTGACCCTTTCATGTCAAGTCTAAAGTAAGGCATGCTCACTTCCTGTTCTCCTAATATGCTGTTCATGTTAATTTTCATGGATTACACTGCAGCAGTGCCTGTGTGTGCAGTTATCAGCAACAATAGCAGACCTGCACCTGGTCCCTAAATGAGAGGTGTCAGACACACTCAGCTGGCATGACCTGCTTCTCAGAGTTTGTGCTCATCTCCCCCTGTGGCTTCTGACACTGTGCCACTCAGAGCACAGTAGTACACAGCCGAGTCTGACTCTTGGACCGAGGCTTTCTGCAAGTGGAAAGAACTGGATCCTCTGTCATATGTAGCTACAAAACCTCTGCTGCTTCCTTTCTCAATGGCCTTCGAGACTCTGAATAGGAGCTGTGGACCTTCTCTGGGATACTGCACGTACCAGAACAGGGCTGGGTACTGTTGGGTTTCATAGGAACAGTTCACAGTCAGAGGAGTCCCTTCAGAGAGTGTCACTTGACTTTCCGTCTGAGTCACGGAGACTTCATTGCTTTTTCCTAAAGAGGGAAATTAATAACAATTCAGTGTTGGTCATCTTGGTGATGGCCTGTATTCTGCCTCATAGGAAAAACTGCCCTTAAAATTTACATCAATACCATAGAATAACACATAAGCTCTGTGTGTCATCCCACTTACCAAACATTAACAAGAGTACAATCACTAGTACCAGAGAAGAGTTCATCTTCTGAGACAATGGAATGTGTGAATCTTCATTTCATTAGTTGGAAAGGTTAATGTCAAAGTGAAAGGATGATTTTGAGCTGAGAACTAAACAGGAAATGTATATGTGTTAGGTAGATGCATCCTCTCCCACCCCCATTTTAGGCAATTTGCTAACCTAAGAAGATTGTTGACCTACATTCTCACAGTCAGAGATGTAGTGCCGCTCTTGGATCTTTTATTTGTCTAAGACACCTGATATCCTTTGAACAGTGCTTCTGTAATTCTGAAGAATAGTTGTGATTGAAATATTTGAACTTTTACATTGTCTGATCTAGGAACTGCATTCCATGCCATTTCTAAGTTTCTTGTGTATGGTCTATGTGGTAATCCACTGGAAAAATCACACAAGCAAGGAATGGCATCACATATTTATTCACTACCAGATGACTTTGCGGTAAGAGACAAACTTTTTCCATTTTCTTATCCTACACTTGGACAGGTATCATAAACCTAAAAGAAAACTAACAGATGATTCTTAAATTAATAAGTGAAGGAGGTTGGGGAGTGGGAGGAAAGATGGGAGAACTGTGGTTAGAATGTAAAATAAAAAATAGAAAAATTAATAAATGAATATTTTTGTTTAAAAGAATATCACTACTTGAAATAGCCATTTGTTTCATGTTTGAAACATTTATCATAACTCAACTTGATAAAAGTTTAGTGAAAACATGACAATTTTATATTACATGTATATTTTGGGAAATAATTGATATGGTGTTACTCATTGGAGAAGCACATAGTCTGTTATACTTGAGGCTTTGAGGTCAGTCTCTATCACCTCAAAAATAGTAATAATAATAATAAACCCTCTGGTGGTTTGAAGATAATGGTACCTATAGGCTCATGTGTTTGAGTACTTGGTTCCCAGATGGTAAAGTTAGGAAGAGTTAGGAGGTGTGGTCTTGTCTTGGTGTTTCAAAGGACTCAAGTCATTAGCAGAGCCACATTTTCTGCCCTGCGGTTGTGCCAACAGAATGGATGCTCTCAGCCATTGCTCCAGTACCGTATCCCCATCCCATGCTCCCCACCATTATGGACATGGACTCTAACCCTCAGAAACTGTAAATAAACTCTCCTGTAAGTTACATGCATCATAGTGTTTCGTAACAGCAACTTAAAATTAACCAAAACAAATCCACATAACTTGCATTCCTAGAAAAATACAGAAACTGATGATATTGAATACCCAAGGAAATGAATACAATTCCTCTTCCCCTGACATGTCATTGACCTAGGTGCACCAAAGAGATTCTGAGTTACATGTAGCTGCAGATCCACTGTTGTTTAGACAGGATTCCTTCCATAGATTTTTTCTCAACTGTGCTTTCTCTATATCTTTACATGTCAACAATACTTACATAACCAATATAGTTCCATAAAGTTATAGTCACATAGGACCATATTTGCTAATAAATGTTAAAGTCACACAAGGACATATCATCCCATAAAATCATAGTCACACAGGACCATATCCTTCCATAAAGTTATAAACACACAGGAATATATCCTTCCATAAAATTGTGGTCATACAGGACCATATTCTCCCATAAAGTTATAGTCACACAGGAACATGTCCTCTCAGAGTTAGTATTTTTCTGAAAAGAGTAAAGATTGAGCTAAATGTCACCCTCTGGGTACAGTCACAAATGGCTTGTCTGTGGATGAACAGCATTCTCATAACAATGGAGACACTTTCCACCCCCACAGCTTTTGAAGTGTGTGTTCACTAAGCAATATCTCTGATGATGGATAATGTAAGACTCTCAAGAGGATCAAGTTCAGTGCCCAACACTTATGCAGAGTGGCTCACAACCCTCTTTAATGCCCAAACACGGAAAATCCATGTCCCTAGGCCCTGAAGGAACCTGTAGTCATTCGCACACACAAACACACACCAACACACACACACACACACACATGCACATGTAAACACACATTTACACATGAATATGGACACACACCACTAAAAATATTAAATTTTTCAAGCTGTGCATTACATTATAAAGTGCTGTTTCCATCCACGATTTCTGTCACTAAAGGTCTTCCTTGTCTAGTAACAGTACCCTCTAGTGTTTGAACCAAGATCTAAGACCTCTCCATTTGCTGATACAGTCAGAATGCTTCTTACCTATACATCACTGAATGAGATAGTTAAATAAAGACTCTGCATACATTATAGGAGGCTAAGGTTTTCTTTTTACACATTGTGACTCTTGATTTACTGGCTTTATCCATTGTCAAATATAAAAGTATGTGTTTCTGAATGCAAAGAAAAATGTACAATATTTGGAAGACAGAGAAGAGGCAACAGCCATTGTCTCCCAAACCATCATTGTACAGGAATGGTGAAAGGCACTGGGTACTGAGTGGTTTCATCTGGCTTTTGTTTTTCTCCATCTTCTGCTTCACTTTCTTCTTAGTGAGGTTTGGTTGAGTTGATGGCTCTTCAGCAGCTCCTGTGTATAGAGGAACACAAGTCAAATTACAGTTTGTCTCTGAGCCCTAAAAATTCATTGAGGAAACTACTATGCCTGTGACTCAGTGACACACCAATGGATTTTTATCCATGCTCGAAATGCCCCTCCTGGGGATCTTAGCTCTCCCATCTCTGAAGTAAGTTGGGTATCTCTGCTATCTGATTTCCTCTGCCTCCTCAACACATACTTCAAGTTAAGAAAGAAAGAAATTTCTCAGGCTCATTCACAGCTGCAGTCTCTCCCTTCAACTTACCTGTAGAATTAATAAGTCTGTGAGTTTAGAAACTAGGAGACAATTAGCATCGTCCACAGGCATTCAGATATTTTTGAGAACCCCAATTATCCTGACATGTCATTCAAACCACATGGCTATAGATGGAGAGTCTGTGTAGACAGCTAGAGCAATTGGCCAGAGAATCAAAGGAGCTATGATACTGCCTCATCTCCATCACTAAAGGATCCCCTGATGACAGGTATTCAGTGTTTTCAAAGCTACGGTGACCTTCTTCCTTCCACAATTTCACTTTTAGTTTATTTCCTCTAAGGTCTGGGATTTAGGCATTTATACCTTCATGGTGTCCCTTTGCTTAATACCATGTCTCCTAAATGCTGCCCAGATGTTAAACCTGGAACCTACCTACAAAAATATTGATGGTGGGATTTTTGCCTCTGTATTGACAGACACCAGGACTGAGAATTTTAATTTTATCCCATGTTTTTGCAGGCACTGACCGTGAAGTAGAGACTAGGGACACACTTAGCCAGCTACTTCAGCAGACTTGAAAGAACTCAGGCAGCCTTAACTGCCTTTAACTTAATATCCTGTCTCTGTTTCCCTAGTGTTGGGATAGCAAGTTTAATAAGCACTAGATGTTCCAAGGACACAGGAGACAGAATGTGGCATTCCATGGGCTGAAATAGCCTTGAAAATAGCCTGAATTCATGTGACCTATGAAAACTTTGTTCCTGGAGCTTTTTGTTTCTAGGTCCATGCCCTACCATTGGCCAAAAATTTCCCTGAAAATCACCAAATGGAGCATAAGCAGGTCATGGCAGACCTGCATAGGTTGCAGAATGAGAACAACAAAACCTTGGAGAGAGTCAATGAGCTCAACAAGGAATTACTCTTCTATTGGTAATTGCCTGTCTTGCACGGGACTGTAGCGTCTATATCTGTCTATCTTTTCCTCTGGATCACAGAGTCCACAGCTCTTGTTCTAGCCATTATGGATCTTAGCAAGAATCCTTAGCAAGCAGTTCTTGGACTTGTATTTATGACACTCATTTTTGCTAATTATGAGAGAGACTGTAAGCTCCTCCTAGCACCAGACTGCCAACTTAAATAGAATCTAGTTCAGTGATTTTAATCCTTCCTAATATTATGACCATGTTAAAATAATTTGTCATGTTTTGGTGAGATTCAATTATGGAATGATTTTTCCTGCTACTTCGTAATTTTAATGTTGTTACTGTTATGACTCATGATGTAAGTTTCTATTATGGAGGAAATCTGAGATGCCACTCATTGAAAGAGGAATTCCATTACCAAAAGAGTCATGATGCATAGTTTAAAGACCACTTTTCTAGCTACAGGAATATTTTGCACCATCAGATTGGTGTCAAAAAGGTTCTCAGGCATGGGCTTATTGCCCCCATGGGGCCTATACACCCCTTGGGTCTCCTGTCAGCTCTCTGTGTGAATTTGACCCCTACCTCCTGATGTGGTCCCATTATCATTGTCAGTTAAGGCCATTGAAGGACCCACTCATATCAGAAAAAATAGGCAGATGTCTTTTGTTGTTGGCATATTTGGAAATAGTTTGATATTTTCTAGAATTTCCTGTTCTCTAGTTTTGGCCTTCTGAGTGCAGCTGTCATGGCTGGATTAGCCTCTTCTCTCTCTCTCCTTATGGAACCTTATGGTGAGTTGAATTGATGGGTTATGGATGCACGGGTGGTAGGAAGAGAGTCAAGGTCTTACTATACAGATTGTGTTTCCAGCAATCCACAGTACCGACTCCAGATGGACAAGACCCAGGTGCAGTATGTAGTGGAGAAGCTGAGGCAAGAGACCAAGAAGGTGTTAGGGGAATGGATCCTGCTGCAGCACTACTTGGGAGAATTAAAAGACATCTCTGAGGATCAAGAACAAGTCATCAGACACCTCCAGACCCAGGAGCATCAGGTAGGAAAAAGCAGTTGGGTCAGGGCTAGATCCATCATTATTCTTTCATGGAGCATAAGGCTGTCCATAAACACAATGTGGTATCACTTAGAACTTTGTAAATACACACACACACACACACACACACACACACACATACACACACACACACACACACCATTCATCATCCCCTGCTTTCATGACAACCAACTGTTAATTTCTATGTCTATGCATCAGTAGTTCTGGGAAGTCACTCTCTTGTGGGTATCAATTGGCAAACCAACCTTGCTGTTCTATTCCAAGCTGCATTTCAATGTGATGGGTCAATGACACTTCCCATGCCTACATTTCATCATAA